ATGTGCAATGGCATATACTGCTACTTTAATTTTACTTCTCTAGTGAGTACCTCAGTTTGCTGTCACCTTGCAAAGATACTGACTGAAAGGTATGTGCTACTTTAATTATACTGGAGTAGAGAGTAGGCAGAGTGAGTAATAGATACCATGTGATGACATTTATGGAACGGAAGATACCGCTTTAGATTTTAAATAGTATTATTAGATATCAATAGGGGCTGTTTCTTGCCATCACTCCTCGTTCCAAAACAGTTTGTTTTCAAGGGTGGTGTTTAAAGAGGTGGATAACAATAGAGCCCTTATTTGTGCCTGCGTGTTTAGTTGGCTAAGCTGACATCAGTGGCTCTTTGTGAGGATGTGCCAGCACATCTGTATATGGCCTCTGTACTGAACACAACACTCGCCTCTGGTAATTCTGGCACTGTCCTGCCTCTTTCTTTCCTTCTGCCCCTGCATCCCTCATTCCCTGCCCTTACAGCATCACTCTAATGGGCCTGAATGCTTGCAACTTTGTATATCACAGCAGCATCCCACCCTGCTTGTTCTAAGAAGTTCACAATTATTATGCAGAATACTGAACTCTATTTCCATAGATAATCTGCAGGCACTACCTGTAAATACATTTTTGTTACCCTGCCTGGAGATTGAAATCAGCTTCAAGGTGCCCAGTGGAGCTTTCTTGTGAACAAACAAATGTTTATATTTAGTGTTTCTTACCAAAGCACATACTGTATGTTTATTCTTAAAGTCTTTGGAATTTTGAAACCTGTATGGTTTTTGCTTACATGCCAGCAGTGCTAGTTTTTCAATGCAGGCACATTGTTATATATCTTTGCATGTTACTATGCAGTGGACCTGCATAAAACCGTGTGTGTGTGTGTGTGTGTGTGTGTGTGTGTATGTATGTATGTATGTATGTATGTATGTGTGTGTATATATATATATATATAACAACTTAGTAACTATATATTTATGTGTAAGTTTTTCCCAGAACAAAACTGGAAAATATTCAATTCCAGAGCCAAAAGGAGCATGATGAAGACACAGCTGCCTTACTCAACAGACCACCCATCAAAAGAAGAATGATCAGCTGTTTCACTCTGAGTTTTCCACTCATTTGTTCACACAAACACACACGTTCACTTACACTCCCTCTCCTCCTGTCACTGCTGCTGGGTGTGTTGCATGCCACCTCTCTGACTTCCACCTCCTGATCAAAATGACTCTAACACACAATGAAATGTTCAGTACTGAACTGCCATGGCATATTCAGTATAAACTGAATTTACTGTTGGGTCCCATCCAAGCCACCATATGCTGAGGACCTTGTTTCCCCAACCAAAGCATGACTGATTCTGTTAATGTAGTAAAGCTCTAAATCACCAGAGTGCTAACGTTCTACAGCAGTGGGATCAAGGCCTTTAAAAGTCATTTAACACTCTGACTTTAATGTCCTGGAGACATTCAGGAGGTGTCTCTGATGGAAACAGGTTAGTTCACTTTTGTAATATGATGCAATGCTAGTCACAAATGTTGGACACAGCCACACAACTACAACTGTGTTCAACTTGCAGCTTTTAGACAGTATGAACAGCTTGAGCACTGGTCTAAATAATGGGCATATAAAAGCAGAATTTCTATATGACACTTAAGTCATCTCTCAAAGTTTTTATCCAACAGATGGTTCTGGTTTGCACAGAAAATTCCCTAACCAGTGCTGAAAAGCCACTCACACGCAGGACAATAAAATAATATTATGGCCCAGAACTGTAGTTCCAGTAGTTAACTATACCAAAAAAGAAAGGGGGGGGGACCTAGAATTATTATGCTAATATGAATGTAGTTGAACTAGAAGGAAGCTATTGCTAAATGTAACTGAACTGCTAGTGTAATTACATGCAGTTCACCGCTCATCAACCTTACTTCCAAACACTGCAGGAAACTGTTTTCAGTGTAAAATGCTGACTCTTTACTACCTGCCCCACTGTAAATAGACACAGTTAAAGGTATGGTTGGTGATCCTGGAAATACCAGCAAGAGCAAGCTTTGAAAGTAGCCAACCAAAGAAATCACACCCTTTTGCTCTGAGTTCTTCCCAAAACTCCTCCTTGAAAACACAACGTGCACTGCCTGACTACTACTAGCAGATTTAAGGAAAGTAACAAATCCTCCCAAAGGAAACAAAACTGATAACTACCTGTCCAGCAGAAATAAAGCCACCATGGCATCACTTTTCAGCCTCCTTTGTTCCCTTAGCCGTTGCCGTCGTCCAAAAGCCACATCGATGTTAACTCTGGTTTTACTTCTTGCAGCATCCAACTTTGTTTTTAGTTGTAACTCTGTCATACGGTGTTACCTGCCCAGATCTGTGCCCCCAAACTGTAGTCGGGGACCTCTGGTTCATGGCGAAGCTGCATTAACCCTGGCTCATAGCTGGTAACTACAATGTCCACTAAGAGCATGTGTACCATGGTGTTAACGATAATACCAGGTACATGCTGATGCAATATCTACCTTTTATCTGTGCTGTGTTTGAGAACTAAAGTTTTTCTACTAAACTCTTTTTAAAATGTAACAAAATATATGAAAATTTTAATTTCTCATCACAGAATAAGGAAACATTATGAATCTGACCAACTTTCAATAGGTGACAGTTACTCAAATGGATATGAGGTCACATTTTAGATGTTGGAATCAAATAAAGTTTGATGAGTTGCCTCCGTAGCAGGTGTAGTGTCTTCAAATGACATGGAAATACCATACTCATCCCTGTTCAGTGATGTTCTGAACATTCTTCACTGACCTGTTCTGGTGGTGAAGAATGTTTCAAGATATTGAACTGAAAAAAGTGGTTGTTTTATCAGCCTGTTTCAGTAAAACAATTTTTAGACCGGTAATCACTGTCTGGGGTCGTACCTGTTGTCTCTCTGTGTTTAACTCATTTGCATAGAGGACTTTTCCTGGCCCTCCGTGGCCAGGACTTCTGTGAAACAGAGCAAAAGGCTTCAAAAGAGCATTGTCTCCTAATTTGGGTTGCATTTACTGGGCTGCCTGGCGTGGGTTTGTTTTATCTGGTGCTGACAATATGTGTGTGAGTGAGCGAGAGCATGTGCATTCAGTCAAGGCTTCTTTTACTGGCTGCCAGTCCATCCATGCTTTATGATGACAGTGTTTTTATTTGGTTGTTTATGCCTTTTGTGTGTGCACGCATGAATAGTCAAGGCCTAATTAGGACGATGTTAGTCATCTCCTTTCTGACTCATGTCACTTCTGGTCACCCTCATTGAAGAAGAACTGACTTGAGGCAGGGAAACACTTAAACTTTCATGCAGAAACACAGCTGTATTTGTTAAATGGTAAGGATGCACAACCAATAAGAGGTCAGAAGACAGAAGAATCCAGAATTTAATGAACAGAATGATTTGTATTGCTTGAAAACAGACCAGAATTAAAAGTCATCTTTGCCTTCTGTGAAGGACTTTGAGTGAAACCAGCGTTGCTCCTGCAGTCCCCTGGCGATGCTGGACTGTTTATGTTGCTTGCTTTGCCTTTTCTCTACTTCTTTGTGTTTCCGCTGTGACCCGCAACAAGAAAAATTTAGAGGAGACTGTGGATACATCAGCTGCAGGAGGGATATGTAAATAGATGTTCCCTGAATAACATGTTTCACAAAGTTCCCTTGTTTTCTCTTGTCTTTTGTTCACTCTTGTAACCCTTTTCTCATATTCCAAAACTCTCCCCCTCCATCTGCTACTTATGTTGTACTATCTTTCTCCTTTGTTAAACTTTTTTCCATGTGTAGCCCATATTTTGTCTTTCGCTCTTTTTGCCTCCTTATGTTTTTCATTCTTCTATACTATCTGTCTGTGTTCTCTCTCACATACAGGGTGTTTGAGTGTCTTTAATGTGTGTGATAACATTGTCAATAACATTGTTAAGAGAAAATGCAATTTGAGAAATTGAATTAGGAAAATTGGAGCAGGGGACGTGCTTACATATACATGTGTGGGGATATCTGCTTTCCCTTCACAAATATTTCTTCCTACACCGATCCTTTCCTTTGGTCACACTCATCCTTCTCTTTCCTGTATTTATTAGTGTATTTTAAAAATAAAAATCTTAAAATTGTGATCAGTTGTATGGGGCATGTGCCTGAGGAATAAAACACAATACAGTCAATTAAAAAAATGCACATCCAGCCTTAAATTACTGAAGAAGCCTTTTGAATGAATCTTTATGAATCTAGATCTGCACTTAACTCCACTTCTAGATTAAATGGAAATTAATTGCAATGTTTTGTTTTCTAAAATGAATAATTTATTAATTATATAAAATAACAAATGAATGAAATCAGTTAACGAGGTCAGTGTTTACACAGAGGGTTTGATTCCATTAGATTAGAATAACCGATGGTGAACTTGGTTTGCAATCAAAATGGATTAATTCAGTGGTTCGGTTTCACTGGCTGGATCATCTGGACACATTTATTTGAGGTACTTTACTTTTATAAAATGAACACATTGCCATTTGGAATATACATCCTCATTTACTCCAGCAATAATATTTAACAGTAAATATCTCCAGCATTATTCTTGTGCTCTCACTGCATACTAAAGTCATGGAGACCAACTTATAATTTATTATCATAACCATTTGAGTTGGCGCCGCAGATGGCGCCATCGGTTCTGTACCGGAAACAAATTCCTTGTGTGTAATATACTTGGCCAATAAAGGTGATTATCCTTATTATTTATCAAGAGGATATTCATGATGTAATAGGATTTCAGCATGTCACTTTTCTTCCTGTGCAGTTAGATCACTGAGTCGTTTTATCTGATACTGGGGTCAAAGCTCTGCTAGCTGAAACAATGCTCTAATATTAACGTCCACCAAGGATTCACTAATTTAAACAAATAAATGTATGTGAATAGTGTATCAGCTGCATTCTGATCACTTGTTAAGCAGCCATCTCAGTAATCTTCTCCCTGGTCCTTTTCTAGTGAACACTGCCTACTGCTCAGAGAAGGATGGAGATGCCGAGCTCGGTGACTCTGAGGGCACCCTGATGCGATGTGGGCAGAGCTTGTCACTTTCGGTGGGAGGTCATTCAGGGGGCCTTTACCCCCCGAGCCTCCACTGCAACAGACCTGCACCTGATCTCCTGCTGCAGAACGGCCCTCACCAAGATGCCAGGTAAACTGCCACTATTATTTTTATTTTATAATTTTGTTCCTGTTCTCTAGTTTGTATTGGAACAGAACTGTTTTGAATGTTTCCTGTTTGGTATAGTATTACAAACACTATGCAGGTACAATACAATGTGTTTTTCATTATCTTTGCTATTGCGAATTACATCACACATTTTTAGCTGGAAAGCTTTACTCACTCTCATAAAACACACGGAAGGGGTCCAAAGTACAACATTTATGTTACAGTAATGTGATTCATCTGTTGTGCAATTTTTGACTACTGTTGGCCAAGTCAAAAAGAACTTCTGTCCTGCTTAGTTCCCTTCTCGTTTGTCCCTCTATCCTCAGTCATCCAGTTGAAAGTTCTTCTGGATAGATGATCATTCTCCTTGTATCATCTCAGTATTTTCACTACAGCCAAATAGGAAATGGTGTTCTTTAATGGAAAGAGAGAGGGGCTTAAGTCTTTATTAACAAAGATGAAAAGTCAGCCAGTAGCTTTCTCCAATCCAAGCTAGCATTAGCTCTGCTTTTCTCCCAGCTTGCTGAAGGGAAGGGACAAAGAGGATTCCTTCATGAGACAGCCCAGTGAAAAGAGAGCTCTTCTCACATCACTCAGGGCCTTTGGACAAAATCCATAATGAGCCAACTGACAGGAATGATTATGTAGGAGATCACAGCGATGCATGGAGAAATCTGACCTGGGTTCTCCATTCAACAGGGCAAAGCTTCCCACCATAATACACAGTATTGTAAACCATGACCCTTCATAGTCTGCAATTATGCTATGAAAAACAGGTGACTCCCTATTTATCCCCAGTGTTGGGTTGGGTTTAACCCCTTTGTGTCATCAAAGCCTGTCAGATGGACATGCTAGCCACTAGCCACTCTGTCTCAGTAATCATCCATCCCTCCCCCTTTTTCTATTCTTAGTTATAAATGCCTATTCATGTCCTTTCTCTACCAGAAGATCCCCTGAAGATCCAGTTTCATTTATAGGTATTGGTAGATGCCACCTAGTGTCCACTATCACCATACGTCACTGAATCCTTAACATGGCTTACACAGTGATCATGTTCGTTTCATAAGGTCCCTTATGATGAACGAGAGACTTGTTTGAAAGAGGGACTCATTTAGGATGATGTGGGGGAGTAAGCAGGAGGATAACCTCTAACAGTGCTGCTGGTGGGATGGATGAACCAGTTTGTCATTGGTCCGTGAGCTGTTAGTGTTCATATTCTTCTGTGTGTTTTTCCTCTATGCAGATCCTCCGCTGCTTTACAAAGGACCCTGACTGGGGCCCCATCTAGTCTGGGCTACGGCAGTGCCAATGGTGCTCGCTCTTCTCTCCCTTACCTAATCAAACAGGAGAACTCAATGGGCTACAAGATCTTGAGCACAGGATCCGGAGTACATAGCATGTCTCAGGCTGGCTTTCAAAACTGCAGGGCAGGCCAAGTTTTGGCATTGCCAAGGGACGAGATAGTTGGAGCTACGCATGTGAGCAACAGTGCTAGTGGCGTATGCACACCAAGCAATGTAGGTAGTGCTGTGTCAGGGGATGCAGTGCAACCGTTTAATAATGAAGATGACTCCTCCCCTCTGGCTTTGTCTCCAGCTGGCTCCCATCATTCAGCACAACTGCTCAGTGCTAGCAGTCTGAAGAAACGCTGCCCAGTATCACAGTCCACTACCACTGCTGGCTTGGGCGGTGTTGCTGCCACAGGCTCTCCATCAGCAACTGGTACTGCTTCTGCGGACATCATTATTACTTCCCAGATGTCAATGGTTGCCTGTGTCAACAGGTTCTGCACCAACCTCTCGCCCAGCCACACCCGCAGTGCTAGCTTGTCCTCCTCTTCCTCCTCCTCCTCCTCCTCTTCTACATCCCCACCCTCTAACTTCTGCTCACGGGAAATCCCCCAGAGGCCCCCACGTCACGGCAGCCCCCAGCAGACCATTCTACAGGAGAGCTGTCAGCTGTCCTCACCTGCCGCCTGCCTGCTGTCCCTTTCCTCCTCCTCATCTTCCTCTTCAGTGTCATCACTGGAGCCAGAGCAGGGCTCCATACTGCAGGGGCACGGGTCTGGCGGAACAGTCGGTGGAGGAGTGGGAGAAGGAGGAGGCTCAGGCAGTTTGGGGCTACTGATGAGCGGGGCCCTGATGTCTGGGACGCTGCATATGGGGCCAGAAGCTGGGGCTCTCCTGGACGGAGGTCAGAGAGCAGGGGCTGCCCTCAAGCAAGAGCCCCTCGATGACTTTTCTCCTAGTGAAGACAGTCTCTTTCCACACCACTATCACCACCACATGAGTGGTTGTAGTGGCCACCTTCGTCACCACCACCACCCTTCTCGACCTACCATGCCTCCGCCCTACCACCTACACCAGTATGTGGGGCCGCTTCACCACCAGGGCCAGCAAACAGCACCATCCTCTTCCCTGGGACTCAAACTGAACTCTGGAGGGTCTACTGGTTCACACACAGCCCCAGAGCGGGAAGACATCGGAGGGGGAGCACTGGCTGATAAGCAGGTGTGCCGCTGGATTGATTGCAGTTCTGCGTACGAGCAGCAGGAGGAGCTTGTGAGGCATATTGAAAAGGTCCATATTGATCAGCGCAAAGGCGAGGACTTCACCTGTTTCTGGGCTGGCTGCATTCGCCGCTACAAGCCCTTCAATGCCCGCTACAAGCTCCTCATTCATATGAGGGTCCACTCTGGAGAGAAACCTAACAAGTGTATGGTGAGTCATCATAAACCATTAAATATCCACTGACCAGAACCAAAAATCAGACATCAATGGTCACCACACATTCAATATTGTTGAAAATCTCCTCTAAATCAGCTGTACGTTTACACATTTTGCTTCATTTCTCAAAGTATAAAGTTGTATTATTGGATCAATATGAGTTTAATTTGTTCCATAATTGCAGCCATCTCTCAAATATTTCTGTCTGACTTAACCACAAGGGCATAATTCCCAATAGTTGGTTGCCAGCTGAGGATTTTAGGATTTTTTTTTTTTTTTTTCAAGAAGATATGCATCCATGGTGTCCAGCAAATAATACTGGACTTGATTCACTGTTGATTACTTTTATTTTCTTTGGTTGTGAAACCATTGTGAATGTAGTTCCTGTTTTTTAGTGTAACATAAAAAAAAAAAAAAAAAAAAAAAAACATCTGCCAAAGGAGTGAACTGCTTCAAGAGTAGCACTTACTCGTCAGTATAAATAGATTTGTGGTTGTATTCTTTACAGGTAAGGCTCCAATTCCACAAGTCAGCACACTAATCAGTGTCAAGCTGTCACTCCCTCCTGTCCTCTAGTGAATGGAAAAAGCCCTCCAACCTTAAGAATGATTTAGTTCAAATACACAATTAGTCCACAATTTGTGTAGAGCAAAGTTGTGTTTATTTGCACGAGCACTCTGTTTGTAGAGGAGGGATTCAGATCAGGAAAATCCAACACATATGGTTAACATAACCAAACAATGCCTACACTTGATCCTTTTAAATGGGAGCTTTAAATGTTCAGCTGTCTCACATGTATTAAGTGAATTTGCTTTATTTCCAAGTTAAACATGAGGAGAAATGTAGTAGTCTGGAGAAGGGAGCCGCAGAGGGAGAGTCGCTAACGTTTGCTACTCGTGCTCTGTTCATGGCTTCACCCAGAGCCTCTGTCAGAGGCACTCCTCGTCAAGTAGAGGAACCCATCCAAATCCTAATTATTGAAAAACTGAGTATACACCTGTTTTATCTCAAGGTCTTTCAAAATAAAGAAGTGGCTTGTAAAATTAGCTGGAGGAAGAGTATTTTAATTGTATTTTATAGCAGTGTTGCAAGAAATTCATGTTGATACCTAATGCACATGAGAGCTGATTGTTGAATTTAGCCTTATTAAAGTCATTCATTGGTTTGTTTGTTTTATAATTGTTGTTGTTGCATTATGCAGGTGTGTCTTTACTTCGGTGTAGACTGAAGTTGCATTTGGGCGATGTACAGACACCGAGTGGTTGTTGTACATGGAGGAAGTGTCTGCATAAATATGTCACAGTAAAGTTGTGCCTGTGTGCGTTTTTGGCAATGTTTACCATATGTGCACACTAGAATAATTCAGCACAGTGTGGACGAACCACTGGTTTTTGTCTGCGGACATGTGGAACTCTGTTACACACTCTAACCTCCCAATCACCCCTTCTTTAAACACACACACACACACACAAACACATATTCATAGCCATGCAGTGATATGAAAATGGGGATATTGTTTCCATTGCCTCTCACAATAGGAAGTATTGATTCCACATACGGTATGTTGGGTTGCTTTTCTGACAGAACATAAACAGAAATGTGAAATGTTTTCAAGCTTAAATCAACACATCTAATCAGCAGGGATTGACTGTGTGTTGGTCTAGGAATTCAACAGATAAACTTTGAGGGTCAGAGAAAATAAACATGTTCTCTGTGTGTAATTGTAACTGTGTTTGTATATAGTTTATACTGATTTAAGTGAGTACTCTGTGCTTATAGAACCCTTAGTGTTTCTGTATGCATCCGAAAGAGCGTACATGCTCATGTATTTTAGCTGTGACCATCCCAAGTCCTTATTTGTTTTGTCTGAGTTTGCATGCTCTTTTGCCGTTAGCACTGATGCCTCTTGTGTTTGTTGTGCTTATGCAATAGACAAAAGTATTCAAGAATTTGGGCAATTTATAAAGAGGAAATGGAGGAGATGATCTGTTTTAGGACCAGATGCTTGAGAAAAGATCAAGGCTGATCCTGTTATCATTCTAGTGAAGCAGGGTTCTCCTTATAGACAAACATAATATATATCATTATCTATACTTCTTATCCTATAAAGGGCTTCAGGGGCGGGATACACCCTGGACAGGTCGCCAATCTATTACAGGGCTGTTCTGTGACCTTTCAGAAAGTATGGATAGTTCCCTCTTCCCCCAATTAAAGCGGGCCTTGGGCTGTTGTGTAGGGCAGCCAGCACTGAGGGACACACAGGCAAAAGGGAAACAACATAATCTCTCTGCAATATCCTGTTGTGTTTCATGCCTAATTCAGTTGTTGTTTTAGTTTATTACATTTTTTTCTTGTGTCTGCATAAATATTAAAAATATATCCAGCAAGAGTGGCCCTGACATGGACTCAGACTTTGATATTGTTCTGCGTTGTCAGAGGCCAGCCCAGTGGATTTGTAGTGTCTAAAGGCTGAACCGTGAGCTATGAAGTTCAGGAACATTCTCCTAAACCATAGAGGCTCTATGTGGAACTGACAGCATTTACTGTACAGGGCAGATAGATGCCAGGCATTGTACAGTGCAGTGTGTATTTGTGTTTCTTTGGCAAAGCATTGGAGAAAAATATCAAAACAAGAACAATGTCTGATTTGCTGTGTTGTTGTCAGAGGTTCAGGGCATGAAACCTGGTCCAGTACTTGTTTTGTCACTGTTGTTTATACACAAAATTTCATAGTAAGAATCTTTAGGAGAGTTGCAGTATTTTTATGTATTCTAAGAAAAACAGTGTGAATGGATTATGCACTGTAAATGACAATAGTAATGTTTATCAATGATAGTTTTGGCCTGGATATAATATACTGTAATTTTTGTTTTATACCTGGCCAAAAATACAAATATATTAAGGCAAACTCATTAAGTTTTAAGTAAATAAATAAAGGAAATCTTAGTGGTGATTTATGTAATTATTAAGTATGTCCAATGTAATTTTATAAATTTTTTTTTTTTTAAAGATGCAATTTTTTTTCCTCCCAAAGTTTATTGACACTGACAGATTATGATTATAAAGAAAATGTCTCCATAAAAGGAAAGGCTCACATTTTTTACCATTACTCATATGTTAGAGCTAAAGGTGATTCAGAGCCGTCCGTCTATTCCACAGTCATAAAACACAACCTGCACAGAACACCAAAACTCACCGACACACTCAGACAGTTTGTTGAAGGAAATTAAGATTGATGTTGAGTCCTGATGGAAAAAAGCATAGGTCATGGAATTTCCTATTTCCTCACTGGTGTGAAAACAGAAAACATACAGCCAGTATGGAAAGTATTCAGGCCCTTTCAAATTAAAACAGGTTTTTGGAGTGTTTTGTAAATTTATTACAAATAAAAGAAAGAAATATCCCATTTGCATACGTATCCAGACCTTTTGTTACAACACTTGCAACTGAGTGCTGGTGCATCCTACTCCTATCAGTAGTCAATGAGATGCCTCTAAAGCTTGGTTAGAGTCCACCTGTGCCTAATTTAATGTACTGGATATAATCAGGGAAGGCACACACCTATCCATATAAGGCATCACCTCATTAATATCATCCCTACAATTAAACACGGTGGTGGCAGCATCCGGACCTGAAACCAAAAGAGCATCTTTGAAGAGACCTGAACATGGCTGTGCACCAACGCTCGCCATCCAACCTGACTGACCTTGAACAATTCTGCCAAAAAGAATGGGAGAACTTTCCAAAAGAAAGGTGCCAAGCTTGCAGTTTTATCCCCAAGAAGACTTAAGGCTGTCACTGCTGCCAAAGGTGCTTTAGCCAAGTACTAAGTGAAGGGTCTGAATACTTATGTAAGTGGGATGTTTCAGTCTTTTATTTATAAGAAATTTACAAAACACTACTAAAACAGTTTTCACTTTATCAGTGTTGAGTACTGTGTTTAGACCAATGAGGAAATTTTGAATTGAATCCATTTTAAGATGAGTCTGCAACATAACAAAATATGGAAAAATTGAAAGGGTCTGAATGCTTTCCGTACTGCCTATAAAGTGCCGGTGCCAAGATGGCATGTGTTTTTAAGGGTAAAGTGAGTCCTCTGTGAGCAATCAGCTCAGATGCAGGAGATGAAATGGGCAGTGCTATTAGCTAATTAAAACTGAGCTTCAACACATGACCCAACTTTTCCTCTGAATGCTGCCTGAAACTGGAGCTGTCTGGGCCCTGTGTGTGGGCGGCGAGTGACGTTGATATTAACGTGTTTTTGTGTCCGTATGAGCACTGACACTGTGGCCTTTAGAGTCTAATCTCTGTGACCAGCTTCTGAACCACCAGGTCCCAGAACTACCTTCACTGAAGCTCGGTTTGCTTTCAGATGATCATAAGGAGTGTTTAGAGAGGCTGAGACATACATGCATAATTTATAAGAATTATTTCTGCAAAATGTTGGCTTTTCAGGAGCTTAGAAAGCAAAACATTGTTTTTTTTCTCATTCTTTAAAGTAGCATGTCATTCCTCAGTTGATTAAAACATAAAAAATCTCCAGCAATGAACTTGCTGTATTTTTTGCACCCAGCAGCAGCAACAATATTTAGATAGTCAAAGTGAAGAAGAAACTCAGCCATACATAGAAACTAAATTAACAACTAAACATTTTGTGGATCAGCAAGAATGACAGGTTTTTCATGCTGTGGACACACACACACACACACACACACACACACACACACACACACACACACACACACCCCAATGAACTGGGAAAAGAGTATATGGCTCATTTAAAGTAATTAGGGTCAACAGGCAAGAAAGGACAATGATTTGGCATGTCAGGAGTAGCTGCATGTTTACAAAATGGAGCTGACAAAGTTTGTTAAGTTGGCATACTGTACATGCTAAGACCTAGTCAACCCCAAAAAAGGACCTGGTAGAGCTCAACATGGAGCACTTTATCATAAGGTCCTGTGCCAGTCATTCCCTTGGCAATTGGGTTCATC